TTACTTGGGAAGACAAACGCCATCACTCCGAACGTCCCCCCCTTCCTTCTTCTTCCCCCAGCTTTATATACTGAGCATGACGTCACATGGTATGGAACGTCCCTTTGGCCAGTTTGGCTGTGCCCCCTCCTGGCTTCTTGTGCACCTGCAGCTTTCTCAGTCAGTAGAGCATGGAAAACTAAAAAGTCCTTGACTAGTGTAAGCATTACCTAGCAACAACTAAAACATCGGTGCATTATCAACTTCATTCTCATCCTAAATCCAAAACACAGCACTGTACCAGCTACTAGGAAGGAAATTAACTCTATCCCTGCCGAAACCAGGACAAGCTCAAAAGCCCAGTTGGCTTTGGCTCACAGGGCCTGAACCGACTGCCCCAAACGCATGAGAAGCCCTCACTGCTCTCCCAGAACTCCATCTCCAGCTGGTCTCACAGCTACTCTTCTCCGAGAGGTATCTGAAATGAATGATGGTTTGACCTGTTGCACGATGCTGGGATAGGCAAGATCAGACAAGACAACCGGTGTCACTACTTCCTTCCAGCTTCACGCTCCTGACCATTCTTTGGGATTTAGGTCAGTGACAATGATTATAGATCCCTCTTTTATACTCCAGAGGAATGATTGTCAGTTTTTAATGTGGACTAAATTATTTTTGTAGTCATTCCCTAACATCTGAACTACATAACCCACAACTGAAGAGAGACATCTGCTGCCACAGACATGAGCCATAGGCAATTTTAGTCTGAATGCCTAATATTTGACAATAATACACGGAATAGAAAGTAGAGTCTTTCAGGGGAGATACAAAGCAGGCTTAAATGTTGACATTTTACCAGCTCTGTCCACAGTAACCTGCCATTTCCAGTCTCTGTATGGTCTGCCCACAGAGAACCTAGACTGCAGTTTGGTCCAGGAAAAAAAAAAACACCTTCCACTGAAAAGCACAGTTCTGATCTTCAGGTTTTAGATGTGGGTCTACTGGATGCCCTGGTTTATCCAGCCCTTTGCTAAAATTAGAAGTATTCAGAAGGTCCCATGCCATTTTAATTTGTTCCTGTCACCTGTGTAGGTACTGTCACATTAAAAAGAGAGACTTAATTAGTGGCTAGGGCACTAGCCTGTGAACTGGGCACCTCTGTTCACATCATCACGCCTGCAGATGTACTGTTAAACGGGCCAGTCAGTTTCTCTGCTGCCTTCCCTCATGTCTCTGGCCAGCTGTTCTGGGAGTAGTGTGCTGGAGAACATGTGCCTGGTGAGGGTGACCACTGCAGGGTAATTTCAAGCAGGCAAGCCTGCTGCCAGCAGCGGTGAGCTGCATGGGACGCTGAGGCAAAAATACCTGAGAGCACTTGCTCTATTTCGCGTGTCATGGTTTGGCATAGAAGTGTGGAAATCTGCCTACTGGAGTGGTTACGAGCATCATCTCTGGCCAGTGTGTTTTTTCTGTTACTAGATTCACCACAGATTTCAATTGAATTAGGTCGCTGCATTACCACAAAAAAAACAGTGGTGTTCCTGAAGTAATTCTTAAAAGGTTTATTCTTCCGCTTTTTTCCTCTACATTTACCTATGGTTATTTGCACCACTGGGGGTGACAGGAGAGAGGCCTGCTCTGTAGGTTTCAAACTGGTTCGGAACCAAATAAAGGTCATTTGTAGATTTATTTGGGAGCACTCTTCTAAGTATGCATGTGATTATGGCCAGGGCTCAGTTTTGGGGCCGGTCTTGTTCAATATCTTTATCAATGATCTGGATGAGGGGATCGAGCGCACCCTCAGTAAGTTTGCAAACACCAAGTTGGGCGGGAGCGTTGATCTGCTTGAGGGAGGAAGGCTCTGCAGAGGGACCTGGACAGGCTGGATCGATGGGCCGAGGCCAACTGTATGAGATTCAACAAGGCCCAGTGCCGGGTCCTGCACTTCGGCCACAACAACCCCATGCAGCGCTACAGGCTTGGGGAAGAGTGGCTGGAAAGCTGCCCAACGGAAAAGGACCTGGGGGTGCTGGTCGACAGCCGGCTGAACATGAGCCAGCAGTGTGCCCAGGCGGCCAAGAAGGCCAATGGAGTTCTGGCCTGTATCAGCAATAGTGTGGCCAGCAGGAGTAGGGAAGGGATCGTGCCCCTGTACTCGGCACTGGTGAGGCCGCACCTCCAATACTGTGTTCA